AGGACCCTCATTTAAAAAAATAAAAAGTAGAAGAAAAAACTGGTTCTAAAATATTAAGAGGTTGGTTGATAAGATTTTTGTGATACAATGAGCCAGGACTGTTGATGGGAACGTATGATGAGAAGAAACACGTCAGGCCTAAAAAACGGGCTCTTAACGGCGCACTGAGGGAGAAAGTGGACTTTAAGAGTGCGCATACGCATAAACAAGCATATTGTCCGATTGGTTAGGTTATTGAAGTCAGAGCAGTCATTAGTTCTCCTAACGATATTAATGCGTAGTACCTACCATTCGATATAGAGTCAAGCCTAATTTCACCGGGAAAATTCACGGACTATTCAGAGCGAATTGTTGATGGGAACCACAGCAGACGCGTCTTCTAAATGCGTTTCCACCCACCCTCACGGTGGCCAAGGTCTGCTACACCAAACCTCCCTACGGTGGATCAATCTCCTCTCCTCTATATCTCTGTTTTTGACGATGGAGCAGCCCCTTCCCACCACGCTGCTCCGATTCTCCCTCCTCACCGCCTGGATTGGGGCCAACCCGGCGGGGCTCCTGACCCAACAAGGGCTACTAGGCAGCCATCCAGCCAGCGAATTGCTGATAAAGCGTCGAACCACGAGTCTGTTGTTCAGTCTGCATGGCATGCAAGACACGTTTTTGATGTGATACCCTTTAATTCCTGGAGAACACCCGCCTAATCATTACTTGCACCGACCGTACACCTGTAGCTGCCCAATGACTTGTCTGCTATTATCACGAGCATCCAACTAGCTCTCACAACAGTAGCATTTGTAAATGCATGGGAAGTGAAAAAAACCCACGTTTTTAATATTTTTTTGCATGTTAGAAAATTCAAAGATCTCTAGAAGTCTGTGGGTTGCTGGACAATAAAAGCACATTACCTGAAGACTGCAGTACTTTGTTTCTATGTGCTGTTTCTTAATCCACTTCTTCGAAACATCGGTTCCATCTCGGGCTTCGCGTGACAATGTCTTACGGGTGCGTCTATCGCTCGAACTGCTGTGTTTGCTATAATCCATTCTTTATTTTGCCACGGCCTTTCCTACCAGGTTTTTTTAGATCTTTTATAGAGCAATAACAGGTTCTTAACTTCTATATTGCGAATATCTGAAAGGTTCTTTGGAGGGCTACGATGACGTGTTTGCGACCCTTCCTATGTCTTCTTAATGACATATCACTGAAGTCTGCCTTTCGCTAGTTGCTTAGCCGTCTATTCTGAGCCAGTTATTTTGACCTGTTTATTCCTTGAGACGCGTAGAACGTTATAATTCTTTGAATATTCAGGCTAGGATTTCAGATGTCAGTAGCTATCGGGCCTGCCTACAATTTAGTCCTTAGAAACGCGTATTAAGCATAATAATTTTTAATGGAGTTCTGCATTTCTGTCCGTTTAAACAGGACTTCCGACTTAAGAAATATTGGGAAACTTCTCACTTCACTTTTCTTCGCCTTTGTAGTCATTGTTAGCCGTGTACTTTGATCTTAGTTAAGAATTCGATAATGTGCTACATATAAATCCTTTAGTAAAAACGAAAGTCCTCGGCAGGTGGTTTTTATTCCATACGACCTCACAAGATTTTACTTCTCTGACGTCTCTTAGAAGGTCAATGTTCACTAATTCTCATTGTCTGATCCGATCACGAGTGACGTACATTAAACTACCGTTCTGGGTCAACTACCCTTCCTTCTTTAAAAAAATGACCGGAAAATTTCAAACGTTCGTTTGTGTTAAGAACCTTACGTGCATTTAGTTAATAATTAAAGACAACGTGGTTATTTGTATTCAAAAAGCAAGTAATACTTCTATCGAAATGCATTTTCACTTTGCTTCTTTCATGTGTTCTGGGTTCTCCGAAATTACCCGCCTTGTATTTTAGAGTAATACATTTTTGAAATATTCCACCATAATAAACGTAGACCTAAGTAAAACGAACGAGGCAGTTTTATTACACCCCCCACAGTTTAGATTTCTGCTAGGGCTGCACAGATGTGTTTTCATATCACATAATTTTCCCCTCCTTAAAAAGTCAAGATTTGCAACACGTCTGTTCCTTCTATCTTTAAATATTGCAGTAGCTGATCGATGCGTGGTGTCTAGACTGGCAACGCTCCATATTCAGACCATGTATCGTTTATACACACTTGAAAGTTCATCTCTCATTCGCACTAGCGATGGCACATGCAAGACGCTTTGATGTCGCCTAACTTGTAAAACCATGCACCACTGACGCGCTGAACAGAGAATTCCGGTATTTTTTTACAACCTAGCCGAGAGAGTTAAGACTAGCTAGTGGTAATCATTGAATTAATTAGACTGTTGGCAGTCAAAAAGCGTCCTGGATACACCCAGCGACGCCGCAGTGACTGCATCAGCGAATTAATTCTGCAGTTGTCTGTTCAGACGGCTCTAGCCAAATCCTTTAACGATTATTCCCTCTGACGGCAATGTCGGCTAAGGATGACCGGAAGAAATATTGAACTACTATAGCAACCTCCAAAGAACAGCTCTTCTGAAACAATACCAAATTATCCGCTAAGTCTGCGGTAAGCCGTCCGCACTGAGTGAGCATTTGTGGCGTGAGTGCCCGCTTAATTGCTGTCAACTCCGAAATGGTCGGGTGATGGCCTAAATACTTCGAGCCCCCATCACCCCCTCTTCGTCAAACCTATGCATAAATTTGGGATACAATGACCTTGCTCCATCCATTCGACAGCAGCCGCGCCCTGGAGTATTTGAAACTTTCTGCTTCTCCATGTGGACGGCCATCAATCGCAACGATGCTTTCCCTTAGCTAGGGATTCGGCTCCAAATGTGTTTTGTCTTTATAGCGTTTGTGGATAAACCGACCCAATCAGTGATTTCATTCACCCGTGACAATACATTGTGTAAATCATTAAAGCGTACTCTAGATCAATCAGTCGGTTTGAAAACACCGAGGGCGTCAGACACCGTTAAAACCATTTAGGGCCTTTCCCAGTATCCAGTCTATAGCGTGAATGAACAGAATGTAAGATAGGATACAACCACGTGGAATGCAAGGTCGAATATCGAATAGTTATATTTTTTTATGGACTAAAACTGTAGCAATACTGAAACTATTTTCGCGTGTATCCATCAGTTGGGTAGCAGGCAGCTACATGTATTGTGTGGTGCCAGGAATAGGTGTTTTTAATGACTAAGCGAATTTTACGAACCTTTTGTTGTTTTTAATCAACTCGGAAATTAATAGCCAACTTGTAATAAATCAGTAGGAATCAAGCTTTATACACTGTCTGAAAAATAGCATATTGAAAAAGCAGGCGATTTACATTTAAGACACACACTTGTATGATAGGACTGTTTTGTCAGCATATGGGTTTCACGTTTCAGTATGTGATGCTAGCTTGTATACTTACACTTCAAAGAGGTTCAGACGCTTTGGACCACACAGCCGCCGCAGCATGAATGAAGTACTTGTCCGAGACGGAGGCTCATGGTTCTGACACTTCAGCTACCTTTAAAATATAGTTAGGATGGTGTGCAAGGAACG